ATGAATAGGACTTCCCTGTTAGAGGCTGTATACTCTTGACCGTGTGAGAGCATTTCGAGAAGGAGGGAGGGTCCACCTCACTCTCGGCCATACCAGAGCATTTGAAGGCATCACGCAAAATGTGCTTTAATCATCAATGTTTAAGAAAAAAAGAGAAATAACCTGTATTATTTTTAATTCTTTTCTTGTAGATATTAAACGACCACGAAAATCACTCAAATAGCTTTTGTACATTCAATGTGTTGATATAATGATTATTATCATTATTGTATAAATATGAAAATGAAAGTTGTATCATTTCTTTTGATAAAATATTGAGTTTTTTTTTTAAAGATTTAAATATTTTTTTCGAATATCAAACAAATAGATATTTAGTAGATGAAATTGAAGTGGTAACTTTTAGTAGTTAGGGTGTCCGACTGTTTTTGTTGTTGTTGTTAACCGTTAAATCACAGGTTCTAATCCGGTTTCATCTATTTCAGTTTGAGCAACTGGATAATATCGTTACCTTTTATGGTGACAGTGTTGCTCATTACCTTGTATCTGGTGAATGAGGTAATTATTATGTATGGCAAAAGAGAAACCGAAAATATCAATATCAATAGTAATGGGAACTATATAAACATAGTGAATTTTCAAATGTGATCGGAGAATGAATAATACATGATAATAAGTTCAAAATTTAGGGAGGAAGATAAAAATTAAATATATCTGTTCTACTGGCGTTATCTTTGAACTATCTCATGTGGACATGGAGAGTCCACCTAGGGGAGTTGGAAAACCCTGATTCCAAACCAATGGTGCACATGGGCTCTATTATCCTGATGGAACAAATGGCGTATGAACCAATCGTTGGTCACCGGCTACCATGGCACTGCATCTCCTTACGATGTTCCACTGCCTTGTGGGTTAGACCTTCAGGTCGAAGGCTCCGGGTGTGGCCCCCTAGTAAAACCACCTGTTTCGGTCTGGGCACTCGAGCAGTATCACAACCCACACACGTATCGAATGAGATTTGTGTGGCGCATATGTATTTGGTACCTCTTTGTACCAATATCCATGTGTTAAAATAACTAAATAATAAATATCTGTACTCAGAAATTATAATCAGCCTGCAGATTACAGTTAGCAACTTCTCATATTACTAAATGAGTCAGTGACTTAATGAATGTAAACTATCATATGTCTTGATCTGATCAGTATATTTTTCAATCATATAGATATATAGTTTCACAACTGATTCCGTACTACAATTACTTGTTTGTCATCTATTCACAACTGCAGTATTAATTACATGGTTTTATCACATATGAACAGTACTTTGAAAATACTTTTGAACAAATACTAACAACTTACATAAATGTGCCTTGCAAGGCTGTTTCATATCTACAAAGTAACAGATCGAATCAAAAAGGTATATCGTGTTAGGAGTTCTCTTTTGAATAGTTATCAACCTGAAGTAATAACGTATACTTTGTGGGATTGCTTTTTATGCTTTCAGTCTCAAACAGGCTGTAATACTTATGGACGATATATATATATATATGTATTGTTCACACGTCAACTTCGATGATAGTAGACGTACGTTCATTTCAAAAGAGATATGTGAAATGGTTGAATAAGTGTATTCGCGTAATTCGATGTTCATTTATGTATGCATTTTAATACATAAATCTGTGTAAAACTCATGTATTATTAATCATTGCAATAAGCACGAAAATAAGGGACAAAGTTAAAAGGATTCTTTAACCTATAAAACACATGGGTTGTGAACTAATGTTGTTTCAAAACGCTTATCCAATCTAACAAGTCTTCTTTGATTAAATTGTTCTTAAAAGAAATGATTTAACTCTGAAGCATAGTATCAAGACTGCTAGACAATAATCTGAAGAAGACATTGGGTGTTCATGAAATGAATTTGTAACGAGAATCAATATCCTGTGTTGTTAAAGTGAAATCTCTTTACTATTTTAAAATAATCCCTCCATATGTCGGGATTGAACTAATTAAATCGATCATATTGGAAAAATGGCATTCTGGACTCATTGCTCAACAACAAAATAAAAACTAAATGATAAGAAACTCAATAAAGCACTGATTCTCACATCCAGTCTCCCGCTTACTTTTTGCTAATTTCGCTTTTCTAAAAGCGGCCAATAGACAGGAACTTCATTTGTGCAAATTAAAGCACAGACACAAAACTAAAACCCTTTCAATATCCAGTTTTCAACAAACATATTTTCATTGAAATTGTCAACCGATAAATGTTAGACCATCACTGAAAACACAGGACAGTCGTTTCGTCCTACTACAGGACTTCTTAATAGTACACATCCATGACCACGCAGGAGTCGAACCCAGTACCCTCGGTCCTGCTTGTGAACGCTTAACATCTAGACCAAAGAGCTGACGTCTATCGGTGTTAATATCTAACTCCGACCAAGCCACAATATTGCGCGACCATTTTCTATTGTCTTTGTTCAGTAACTGCTTCACAACCGACGCGTTTGAACTCCGCTGGTTTCAGCTTCTCATTTAAACCTCGGGAATTTCCTTTCGAAGCTAGTGACTTGTGAGAGACATCGAAAATCGTAGATGTGCACTGCTGTAGTCCCATACTAGAATTTTCTGCGTTCCAAATGATGGTCTAGCATTGGTCGATTCATGATTTCAATGAATCTTAACAATCTCCACAAACCTATGTTGAAAACGGATTTCCAACTACCATAACGATCAAGTGAATTATTATGTATGAGAGATATACTCGAAAACGTTTACAGTGTACATAACAGCACTACATTATAATTATTCATTCAATTGATTTGCGAATACAACAACAAATCTTACTAAAAAAGGAACAGGAGATGTAAACCCTAATTGAACGATTAAATGCGGAAAAAAGACAGTAGTCACTAAGGAAAGATAACACTGAAAAAAAATTCAAGATGGATAGTGGCTAGTAGTGGAATCCAGTTTGATGCGCGTTTCGTCCTATTCGGGACTCGTCAATCCGATGTACCTGCATCCCAGAGTTAGTGTCCAATGTGGAAATCGAACTCGGTACCATTCGCTTCAAACGACATCACGTTATCCACTTAGTTACCGATTCCCAATAGCCACTTGCTTGTGCAATAGGGTGAAACTTAAATTCACTTGGTATTTTTTACTTGAATCTTCGCACATATGCCAATAAGAGACGTATCAATTACAGTCCTAAACATTAATGAGAAGATTCTAGTAAACAATACCAAATGAATAAAATAATAATTTAGATATGCATTATCGTTACACTAAAGAGTTCGTTTTGTTATATCCTATCAGAGACTAATTTACGAGTAACTTCTAAGAACTATTAGTGGACTAATATTATCTATATATTCTTATGATAAAACTATTCAGTAACTATTATTATTAATGGCTTTATTCAATATTATATTTCGGGTACAATATAGAGTTCTCAGCACAGAGTATTTCAACAAGTTACTTACAGTAACAAAGACAAAAAAAGGTTTTAAAAAAACCCGAAAAACTGTACAACTTTTTAACTTAGAGACATGTTAGGAACGCAGGTTATTGACTAGGTTAACTCTAACAACCTGTTCGTCACAGAGTATATTTACTAGGTAACGTATTATGTTACTTTTATACTGTTTCTTACGTGCATGAATTTTAATGTAATAACGTCTGGTTCTACAGGGAAGGTATACAAGGAGAAAGATATGAGTGAAGGGGATGGTAAGTATCTGATAACATAACGCCTGCCAGAAGTTTGCATGATTTTAGATGTCTATCCACAACCATATTAAATATGACCTCGAAAGATTCACCACACACCTTGCTAACTGCCTTCAGCACTCTTCGCAATACAGCAAAGTCTTTACTCAATAGCCCGGGAAAGAATAATAGGTAATATGCAAGAATTGACAAATTGTAAGAGTAAATGATGAGTAATCCCAAAAGCATGTAATCTCTTTATGTAGTAAGCCAGACGGAAAACCTTCGATAACAATAAAACGTGAGAAGACCAAGAAAGATTAGAGGAAAAGTTAACACCAAGATAATTGACCTTCGACACTGTGTTTATCAAAGAGCCTCCAATGGCACAAGCATTATGGGATCTCAAAATGGTGTTAAGACTCCGTTCATGTCTCATGCTAAAGTTAACAGCTTGACATTTAGACGGATTAAGTATAAGACCATTACCAACAGTCAATACGAGACAAAAACTCATTTATTTATATGGGATGTAAAGAGGAAGAGATAGGCATACATACAGTGAGATCATCTGCATATTTCACAAGGGTTTTCTGTGGAAGACGGCAGATGATGGAGAAAAAAAGAGAAAAGATTATGTATATTTATATTCAATATATTATAAGCTTCATTTTGACCTATAGATTATTATAATACGATTTACTGTTCTTAAGTGATGTCCAGTTTATTGATTACTGTCTCCCACGTTCACTGCTACTTTTTGGTTTGATCATGTGTAAACGTTATTTCCGATTTTATTTTGTAATATGGTCTGTTTGGCTAGTAATATAAACCCGGTATGTATGAAATAAATGATTTGCGTAGCAGAAGCTGTAATTGGTGTCCTTTGGACTTAGTTGTGAATGAGTTTAGACGAACAAAAGACCAGTTGAACATCATTGGTTTAGTATACAGTACAAGAGTGAATAAGTCATATTTCGATTGGCGAATCAAATTACATGATAACGAACTGGATAGTCAAACTTAAAGCAATGATGGATAGTGGCTAGCAGTGCGATCCAGTTTGACGCGCGTTTCGTCCTATTTGGGACTCGTCAGCTGAATGTACCTGCATCTCAGTGAGTTGATGTTCACTCTGGGACTCAAACCCCGGTACCATTCGCTTCTAACGCCATCACGTTATCCACTCAGCTCTACTGATCAATCGCAGTCATAAACCACCTCAATAGGAAGATACAAGCTAAAACGACACCAAGTGGGCAAACTTAAAGTTACAATACTTTTCATCAGTTAAAAAAGTCCTTTTTATTATTCATTTATAAATGTAATAACAATTTCATTTTTCATAAAAAAAGAAACAGTCTAAAATTACAAAAACAAAATAATGCTGTTCTTAACAAAATAATAATGATTATCAATGGAAGACAGTTTAATCAGTTTAATCATCGGAAATATATGTATACGAAGGAGATTGAATTGTACACGTACAAACACACACACACGTAGACGTAGACATACTCTGAGCGTGAAGTGATGCTTGTTTGGTTTTTACAAGTAATAATAATAATAATAATAATAGTGTCTATAGTAATTGGATCATTTAAAAGTAGGATTATTTTTTCCTCTCTGTTAAGATCAAATTGGTAGAAGATTTCATGATGTGGAATAAGGTAACATATAAATTAGGCATAGGATGATAAAGTTATATCCGTGTACATTAATATATATCTATATCTATATAATTTGTGAAGTAGTAATAATCACAACCGCAGGATTAAAAGAAGTGTGAATAAGATATTCATTGAATAAGTTTAAAATGATTAACACTATATAATGCTATTTAGTATGATAATTCACATTGAATCCGATGAACTTGTCTTATTATGATTTAAATCTGAAGAGAATAATGTAATCAATCGACTTGGTCGAGATTCTAATAGATTATTTAATTTTGTATTCGAATTAGAAAGTGAACCCCAACGTAGATTTGTTAAACTTGATATAGGAATTGGTAATCTATGCCGATGAGATTTTGGACTATATGATCGATAATTATTATAATTTATTTTGAAAGAATCTTCTTTATATTCTTGAGCAAATTGTTCTTTCATTAACTATAATTCATTGAATAAAATAAAAGATCATTTAAAATGAGATAAGGAATTTCAGTACACATATATATATGGAACGTTTATTTTGTTAAATTGCTCAGTGGTCTAGAAGTTAAGTGTTCGCACGCGAGACCGATAGCTCCTGGGTTCGAATCTCGTAAGGCAGTATTGTAGATGAGCACTACTGAAGAATCCTATAATAGGACGAGACGGCCGTTATTTTGTTAAATAATTCAGTGAATATTTGTACAGAATACTTCCACAAAATGATGTAACCTTACTGTTATTTAGTCTACGTTGGGATCGTTTGAGAATTTCTTAAAAATGGAGGAAGATAATTTGTTCAGTTCTCATACAGATCTAGGAAACGACAGATCGTATCATATTTTGATTAGATAATTAAAGAGTTTATCACTAATTTTGTAAGATTGATAAGTGGTCTTGAGTGCTGTTGTAAGTATGAGGGCGCTTATCACTAACTTCTGGTCTTAGTCATGTTGGTAGATACAAACTACTTGGTTGGGGTCCGCGTCACTATCGCAACCAATCGTTGGAGACTCTGCATGACATGGTTCAGAATCGACCACAATGGAGTAGATGTATACACTCTTTGTCTTCCCTTAAACTATGAGATAAAGATTACTTCATATCTTTCTTTCTACTAACTAATTCTTTATTCCTGTCCTTATATACAATCTTTCTTTTATATATTATCATCACTGAATTAACTACTTCGATGAATTCGGTGTTCACCTTGTTGTACTAATGAGATAAGGCAACTTGGATCGATACACATATGTGCCTGGTCCTACGTTGTATCTGACTGACTGACTGAAAACTTCGCGACGAATTAACTCCATTGGTCATGGATTTTCATTAGAACTTCGAGAATTACCTCTTGAAGCTAGTCACTAGTGAGCATATGATAATTATCAGTATAGGGTTGTGAAGATTGTTCAGTTTTGATTAAGATCTGTTGGTGCTTCCAGGTTTTCGATGGTGATCGTTTCACGATCTTATTCAAAACTCAACAATCTCCACAAGCCTATAGTGAGGATTAAGCATGTATTACTAGACTGTGGTTAAATATTTTAGAATACAACCTGACATAAATTACATTTGCCGGAAACAAATTTATTTGCCCAAACTTGAGTCAGTATCAAGATGCCCAAATAACAACAGTAGATGCACGGGGTTTTAAACTTACAAAAACCAAACCAAATTATATATTTTCTTCATATTGAAAATAGACACAAATTAATCATAAAAGAAAAATAATAATAAAGCACATTAACTTACAGCTTTTATTCGAGGTAAAGATTCTGAATAGATACGCATTTCATTTTGATGTCGATTATCTAATTCTTGTAAACGTTTAGTTTCTTGATCAATTAAAGCATTACGTTTCTCAATGGTACTTTGTTCTAATTCTTGTAATCGAAAATGTATACTCTGTTCTAATTCATCCGTTTGAGCTTTATGTTTCGATTCTAACAATTCTAATTCTTCATTCATACGCTTTTGAGCTTCATTCAACTTAAATTATATTATAAAGAAAAAGAAAAGATTACAAACCCAAAATCATTCTATTACTTACAAGAAGATGATAACAGAGTAAGTAATTGTTATAACTTGTGGCGCCTGTGTGCCCTCATAATGTATAACGTAATGATATCGCCAATTAGAGAGCAGTGAATTATCGACTGGACCAATGACGCATAAAACCCGTGCGAGCAGTCTAGAGTACATATCGGTCCTGCTTCCTGCCTAGCCCAGCCAGTTAAATCCAGAACACCAACTTAGCCTCTGTAATATGAATCCTTTATTTAAAGCATACTAGGTTTATATACCAACCAGAGAGACAACATCGTACCATAAAAATAGGAAACAACATTTGTACAAGATTTAGCCAAATGTGGCCGTGAATGGGGGAGGTAGTAATTAATAGACAGGGCATAATTCAAGAATGGTAAAACGTATAATAATGGTTCATAGGTCAAAACAAATCTCATAATAAGAGGAATATGAATAGCTTAGTTATTTAATAATTATACGATAAAAAAATACACGCGGTATGGCAACCTGGACCGATGCACATATGTGCCTGGTCCTACGTTGTAGCTGACTGACACGCATGGTACTGGTCCATAAATTGATCCCAAAAGTTACCATTCATTATGCTTATCGGGACATAACAGTAATCTAGAGTATAATAGTGTTAATAAGAGCTCAGATTCTCTAATCTTCGTCATAGTGTGTTAGTTCTTTCTTTTTAGAAGATAACGTCGATAACATTTTTATGGTTCAAATTTCCGTTATGAACTTTGGTGCCATCTGATTGGTTGTTAACAATCTTAGTTTGCTAACATAGTCATGTGTACCAAAATTGTTTCATATTATTGTATAAACAGAGTTAATTCATTTCAATGTTTAACTTTTGTTCGGAATATAAAGCTATTCTGAAAGTGCCATCTTCTCTCTCATTAATGTGTACATTTTTAATGTTGGAGCGATATTGTGTATTAGTTACTGTTCTAACGAATATGTCACAGAAGTCGTTCATAAATAGCAATTATCGCAAGACTCGATTGGAAACCTTAATCGTAATCATCTTTATTGAAACTCAGACAGCAGCAACACGGGTAAGATTATGTAAATGAACATGGATAAGGTGATGACTTTATATTTTACATAATTAGGAAGAGAAGTAACAACTGTTATATCCGAAGAAGATCAAATTATGGGTAACCTCTGGGACCTATTTATAGACTTATTGTAAATACATACTTATGGTATAACTGTTAATGAACTAAATCATATGTGTATTCATATTCCTTTTGCTATAAGCTTCCATATGATCTATGGGCTAGAATTATACAATTTACTATTGTTAAGTTATTTCCAATCTATTAGTTGCAGTCTCTCACAACCATAGCCACTTTTGGGCTTGAACTTGTATAATTATTTTTATTTTGTGGCGTATTGAGGTCTGTATGTCTGAAATACATTATTACTACAGTAGATGCTGGGATTCTGTTCTCGACTAAAATAGACTGGGTTGGGCGAGAAGAACCAATAAGGACTTGGAGTTGACTAAGCTGCTCGTACTGGTTAACGCATCATTGGTTTGGCACAGCGCCAAGGTCGTATAGGTTGGTGTTCTAATTGGCAATTAAGTCACGTAATAACTAACGGCAAAAGTCACAACAACAACCAGTAAACTCATATTAAGAAACAGATAAATTATAGTAATTATACATGGAATCAATCCCACCTACAGTAAAGTTCGTATTACCGAGAAAACAACTGAATTTTAAAAACAGCTGACTTTCATATACTTCCGTTTGTTTTTTTAAACATTTGTCCTTGAATCGCTTGGACATCGAACCCAGAGAACTTAAGCACCATGAAGGTTATATATGGACAGGACTAGCAGAAGCCTACGTCTGTGATCGCCTTTGGGCCGAACCGTCGAAATATTTGTGTATTTGAATAACTACGTCATTTATTGGCAGCCCAGATGGCCTAGTGGTTACGTCTCTGACTGTGAAGCTGGGTGACACGAGATCGAATCCGTTAGGGAGCACCAGTTCCCTCAAGATTACAGGCACAGCTTGCTGATGAGTGCCCCCAAATGCCCTGGCATGGCCGAGAGTGGGGAGAGTCCGCTCTCCCTCCCGAAATGTTCTCACATGGCCATGCGTATAAAGCCTCTGCCAGGGAAGTCCTACTCACTGTATTCCCGCGGCATTACTGTTGCTTACGAAATTGAGAGGACGGAAAGCAAATTTCCTGAGCTTTAACAGGGTTGGTGGACACGAAGGATCCAGCTAGGGGGGTTGGAAAACCCTTACTTTAAACCAATGGCGCACATGGGCTCCAGTATCCTGGTGGAACAAATGGAGTGTAAACCAATCGTTGGTCACCATGGGAATGCATCTCCTTAAGTTGCTCCACTGCCTTGTGGATCAGACTTTTAAATCAAAGGCTCCGGGTGTGGCCCCCCTAAGAAATCCACCTGCTTCAGTTTGGGCACCCATGTAGTATCATAGCCTTCACACAAACCAAATGAGACTTGTGTGGCGCATATGTATTTGGTGCCTCTTTGTACAAATGTGTTCGAATAATAAATAAATAAAATACGTCATTTATCTGCATGGCAAATAAGATCAACGTACGTATAGAAAAGCCATAACGAGTTACGCCTATCTAGGCTATCTCTGACGTCTCCAATCGACTATACGACGCGAAAAGAAGTTCTGTTTTATGCTTGATTAAAACTACTACAATTTTAGGTTTTTGATGGCTGATTTGTTTAATTTCGAAGGAAAATCCTTCCAAAGGATGTTTAATTTCTAATACAGACTAATGAAAATTCAACTTGTAACTTGAGTACACAAACATGATACAAATCAAATCGTTACTAGATTATTAGAAGAATAAGTAACTAGTTATTTTATTGGCGAGAAAAGCATCTTATCGACTGCTGATTGCTTACTTGGATGGCATTGATTCTAGATTGGCGTTGTAATGTCAGAATACTACGTTTGTTAACAGACTTCATGGATTTTATACAATTTTTTCTCTCTATGGAATGAATTGCTTGAAGTTTACTTCGTTCCATGTTGATTGTCTAAAATGAAAATGGGCAGAATAAAAAACAACTAAATATTGTTACATAGATGTTCATTCTGTGGTTACACAGTAAAATGAAATACAACTGGATGACATCAGTAAACGATCTTGTTCTAGTAAGTGATTAGTGAAAATGATCTTGAAGAACTGTCTTGGATCTATATGCGAAATTTACATCTCTGTGGGGTATGTCAATTTCTGTTTCAGTGGTATTCTAATGAACGAGAACATATATGGGGACAACCAACATAATTTCAATACAAAATTACAGGGTTGTTTCGTCAAATGTTAAGACCATATGTTCAATATTTCATTTTCAAATCATTTATCAATTGTCTCAAACTTCATCATCCCTTCATTATCATAAAAATTACTCGCTGTACCCGTCCGATTCTATTCAATCTTCCCAACCTTCTGCTGCCACTTCTGATTAATATTTATATACTACTTATATTGATATAAGTAGCATACATCATAGTATTACTATTCCAAATATGAATATTCAATTACTTATAACGGCGACTGAAGTTTATAAATAACACTCCCCAATTGTTATAAGATTCATTAAAACTAGTCTTCTGCTATGGTTAAATGTCTAGAAACAATTTTCCTGTAAACAAAAATGAAATGATTTCTCACCTTTCAATCTTCCAATCTAAGAGTACATTGTTTCAATGGGGAACTATCTCTAATCATATAGGTTCATACTAAAATGGCTTAAACAATGATATTTATTAAGACTAATAAAAGTGAATATAATCCAAGCAATCAACCATTATTTCTATAGATATACAATCTAAATTGTTATTATGTTGAAATAAACATAAAGCAAAAGCGAACTTCTCAAATGATCCTATTCGAAGTTACTGTTTATATATTTGTCTTCAGTATGATGTTGTGGAGATTGTCGAATTTCATCGAAATTATTATTGTTAAATATTTAAACCAATATATTTAGTAGTAGCCCTCAAATGACCTGGTACGACTGAGGGGTAAGGAGAGTTCGTTTTCTCTCTCTAGATGATCTCACATGACCACGTGTATACAATCACAAACACGGAAGTCATACTCATTACCTTATCATACCACATGTGTTCTTTAGGAAGTTTACAGGACAGGACGAATTTCCGGTGATTTAACTGCATTAATGGATGAGGAGGATTTACAGAGGAAAGTTGGAAAACCCTCATTCTAAACCAATGGTACACATAGGCTCTAGGATCATGAAGGAAAAAATGGCGTATAAACTTATTGTTGGTCACCGGCTACCACCTGCTTCGCTTTGAGCAGCCGGGAAGTATTCCAACCCTCACACAAATCGAATGACGAAGTATGGTGCATATATTATCTGATTCCTCCTTGTATTCATGTTTATGTGTTTAAATAAATAAATAAACTTGTACTACTCCTCCACTTGTAATTTTCTGTTTGATACATAAATGATTGTTGTGTGTTTTACCTTGTCTAAATTATCGTTAATTTATTTCGGAGCTCTTCCATTCATGGCCATATTGTAATTTCTTAATTCTCTTGATAAGTGGTCGGGATTTCACTCTATATTATACTGTATGAATGATTCATAAAGTCGAACTGCATCGTTGAAAATTGATTTGTTTTGTATTCTGGCTACCGAGTGAGTGAATATGTGGAACTGCATTCTGTACTAATAGATATTTAGTTTTACTCCCGGCTACTATCTCACATTTAACGTATCGTTGATTAGACGGTCATTGATACTAGATAGACAGTCTAGACGAGCCAGTCAACACTCAGATTAGATCAATACAATTGCTCTTCTCTCTTATAGTTCGATATCACGGGCTTGAATAACTAAACAAGGAAATTTGTTTATTTTCATCGACAGATCAAAAAGATTCCCTGTTTATTAGTTTGATTATTCGACAATCAAACAATAGTTCTCAAATTAGAACCAACTGTTCACCTACTTCGAAATGTCCAATGTGATAAATATTAGTAACTACATCACACCAAAAGCTTAACACTTGGTATTCTCAATGTACGATTACTGTATTTGATTGATAAAATGTTTATAAAATTCATTTACCTCTTGAGTTATATTGACAGATTTACAGAACTAATTCTAATTTATATACTTGCACATGTAGAAGGATCTCAGTGATCCTTTTATTGTATTACACACACACACACACACGCATCTCTCATCATCTGTCTATAATAATGAATGTCTCAAAAATGTATACTCAAAAGCACTCTCGTATTTTACTTGTTATACTTTAAGGCGAATTAAGTTGATAAATATATATGAAGCGAAGTGGGATATCTATCTACTTCATCAGTACCATTATCATCCGATCAATATGGTGTCAGATAAAGAGGTTATGAAAAACATACCTGTTTCAATTCCGTTAATTCAAGTTCCGATCGACCAGTTAATTGTTCACGTTTAATCATAAATAAGTCTAGCTGACGATTTCTATCCAATTGATGTTTCATAGATAAGAAACGATGTTCCGTTCTCCATTTATCTTCCTCAAAATCTTTACAATTGATTGTTTGTAAGGCAGACAGTTGTGTTAATAAAAGGAATTAAAAGATGAAACGGTATGGTGCATTAAAATAAGGAACATGATAAAAGATGAACACGGTGAAGTAAAATTATCTACAAAACATCTGAAGAATATCAACGTTAAACATATATTGAATGGTTAGTCGGTATACTGTCCCACTTTAATGTTACAGTATGATTAAGAGTAAAGGGTTCTTTATTTGTTCTTTTCAAAACCCTGAAGTATCTAGACCACCTTTTAAGAACGTTCTGTTCAATGCCTGTAACATTTTATTTCCCTGGTATACTGTCATTATTAATGGTTGTATAAACATAATATTATGAATCCGAAAAATAGACCTCAATACCACATGTGAATCTGTCGCACCCAGAGATGGCATTAATTCATGAAGTCAATAGCTATTGGATTGAGCTGTATCAAGATGCGGAAACCTTTCGGGTAAAGCCCATGAGAAAAACGTAGCTTCTAGCTGGAAACTTTAGGTGACATGGCTTTTGATTGATATCAACATATATATATCCCTTCAAAATGAAACCGGATAACACGTAGTTCATAGGCTTATAGACTGATTATCCATATAACGTTTACATTTTCTCTATATGTATGTTAACCTGGTACCCAATCAATTTTTTTTCAGTAACAGACAATAAAATTGAAATTAATTGTTGATTGACATGTAATTAAATATCACATCAACCAGTCCTCAGTGCTTATCATATTCTGTAGGATAATACTGAGTAGTATAGAATAGTACCTTTTTTAATGTCTGGAATATAATAGTTTTATTACTTACTTTTTAAACAGGATGAGCTAAAAGGTCGTTAAGTGGTTGTCTCTAAGCTGATGAGCATTTAACTGATTCAAAGGCTGTTATTATGTGGTTGAAGGTAGTTGCTAGAAAATTCTGCCTGATTTAGGTTTAGTGCCACTCATTAGCAAAGTCTACATCAAATCTCTTGGGCAACTGATAGTCTTTAATAGATTCGATTGAAATTCACCTAAACATAAATTCTGAGGCGTTATCATTAAACTACTCAAGTGAAGATTTTTCACCTTTATGACTTAGATATTTATATTAACTGATCACTGAGTAGTGGTTGATATCATGTTTGTTTAGTTCTAAATCCTGATCAAATTACAATGCAATTCTAGTGAGAAGCCGTGATCAGTAGAGTTCAACCAGGTCTGTTAGACATTAACACCGTTGGATGCCCGCCGGCCGGCTCAGTGGTCTACAGGTTAGGCGTTCGCGCGCGAGATTGATAGGTCCTGGGTTCGAATCTCGCAGGGCAGGATCGAAGATGCTCACCGCTGAGGAGTCCCATACTAGGACGAGTTGACCATCCAGTACTTCCAGGTTTCCAATGGTGGTCTTAGCTTCAAATGACTCATGAATTCAACTATTAAATTACAATGTGACCACCAGTAAGGCTTAGTAACAAGTTCCCTCTAATTAAAGATATATACATTTGTTCACTTAGAAAAAAATACTTACTTAATCTTAATGTATGAATTTCATTTAAATATTCTGAATGTATTAAATTTCGACGTTTATTATATTCATTATGTAAATCATAAATACGACTATTCATACGTGATTCTTGATTTTCACGAAACAATGTTAAACGTTGAGAAACAAGTGAATTATTATGATCATTGTTATTATTATTATTATTAGTGGAATGATTTGATTTTAATGAAGTTAATGATGAATTTGATTTAATATCATAATTAGATGATTGAATATGATCATATTTATTAAGATCACGTTTAGCAGCTTTACGCATAGCACGATCATATGTATCAATTTCACTTTTTAAACGATCTTTAAATGTACGCTCTTCTTTAGACTAGAATAAATAAAATAAAATAATAATACTAAAACATTATTACGGTTTTTTTAAAAAAACTGAGTTTCATTAAGGTATACGAGTGTAGTAACAGCCTCTGTATCCGTAAGCCTCAACATACACAAAAGAAAAGACAAAACACGAAGAACACCAACTCAATCACACTTGCTGGAGAAACTCTGGAACAAGTTAAATCATACAGCAATATCGATCAACAAGGACAATCTGATGCAAACATAAAGGTGAGGATTAACAAAACAAGGACAGTATTCATACAGTTGAAGAATATATGGAACTCAAAACAACTGTTTGCCAATCAATATCTAAGTAACAATCTTCAACATGAACATCAATACAAACCTATTGTATAGCGCTAAAACTTCCAGAACTTGAGATGGTGGAGAAGATTTGTAGCTCAGGTGGATGATTTTGGTGGAGTTTTGTTCTCTGAGCTGGATGGTTTGGTCGTGAAGCTTTCATCGTTCTTCTGAACGACATCATCAGCACAAACTTCAGATAGAAGTGAAGTGTTTGAATTTCTCCATATGTGTCTCAAAGCTTGTTCTGTGCACCTCGACGTTGATTGGTTCTTATTGACCTTAAATTTGTCGTTGTTTACTTCTTTGTTTTGGTTGTGTCTCCCATTGTTTTGATTTTTGTTCTTATGTTTGTGCATGATTTTTCTGATTGGTTGATAAATTGGATTGATTTCAATATGCTTGTTGATTGCTGATTGACCTGAGTGCCAGGCTTCTAAAAATTCTCTGGTGTTTTTGGAGTTTCCTCTGTCTAAGATTTCCACATTTTTCCAATCGAATGAGTGTCCGCAGTTGTCCACGTGTATTGATATAAGTGAAGAGATATCATGCCGTTTGACTGCTAATTGATGTTCATGTAGGCGAAGGTGAAGGGGGCGTCCACTTTGTCCGATGTAGTGTTTTTCGCAGTTGGCACAATTTATCTTGTAGATGATGTTTGATTTGCTTTCCTTTGTTATTTCATCTTTTGGTTTGCATAAGATTGATTGTAGTGATTTTGTCGGTTTGTGTGCCACACCTATTCCGAAGGTTTTCAGCAGTCTCGTCGTGGTTTCTGATATTCCTTGTATATATGGTAGGGTGATCCTTTTGTTGATTTTTGCGCTTGACTTGAGTTCTAATGCTGCGTGCGGTTGGTATTTTTTGATGAAGTTGGTGGGGTAGCCGTTCTTCTGAAATACATCCTTTAGGTGTTTCTCTTCATTTCTTCGTGCTGCCGGTGTGCTGCAGTGTGTCCTCGCCCTCTTGAACAAATTGTGTACGCAGTTAATTTTGTGAGCTCTGGGGTTGTTGCTATTGTAGTTGAGAATTTGATCCGTATGGGTCGGTTTCCTATATACTTGAGTTTCCAGTTTTCCTGTGTCGGTTCTAGTGATCAATATATCCAAGAATGCTAGTTGGTTGTTTGATTCCTTTTCCATGGTGAACTTGATGTCATCGAAGACGTTGTTGATCAGGTTGTAAGTGTTTTCTAGTTCATTCTTTTTGACGATGACGAAGGTGTCGTCTACGTAGCGAATCCAAATTTTTGGTTTGATCACTGGTAATATAGCGGCTTCTAGTCTTTGCATCACTGCCTCTGCGATCAATCCTGATATTGGTGATCCCATTGGTGTCCCTTTCGTCTGTTCGTAGATTCAAGAAGTATTGGACTAACATCAGTACTTATTAACAAGCCATACAGTTAATATTCAAGAAAGTATTTTCTATGTAGCATAATGATACATTTCACCTTCATTAGTAATGAGATATTTACATTACTTGATCATTTGTAATAATAAGTAGTTACAACGAAACTCAGTTAGTCAGTAACAACGTAGAACTTCGTACGTAATTACATCAGTTCGAGTTGACATACCACATTACCACACACACACACACAATTGTCGATTCAAATCCCATAATGGTAGAAGCACTAAACCTATAAGCAGTAATCTGGAATATTGGGGTTTGAAGACGCTATTCAAGGAGCATAATCCGGTGAAATCAATTTCGAAAGAGAAAATTAACAGGGACATGAAGAATTCAGAAGATTAGAATTTCAGAGAACACAAAGAGTGGATGCACCTACGCCATTGCAAACCATTTTCAGCCATGTCATTCAAGATCTCTAACCATCGGTTGCTATTGTCTCGCAGATCCCCACAACCAGAAAGTCTACACCTACCAACATCACTCAGTCCACCTGTCGATCACTTCATGGATTCCTGCCATATTTTCGTTTGGCAGCTCCCAGCTTTCTTCCAACCTACTCCTACACCATAGAACATCACAAGTCCGGGCAGTTGGTGGTCGGGCATACGTAACAAATGTCCCAGCAATCCCAGCCAACTCATGAAGTTTCACTACTTCAACAATTCATTTGCCATTCTTACCTAATACTCGTTTCCGAACAACTACATTACTTATTCAGTGGTCCCAGGATATACAATGTTTCGAGCACACCTATGATCGAATACTAGTAACCTACGTATATCCTGTACTCTTACCGAGCATGTTTCACTGCCATAAAGTAGGACGAACTGCCGGACAGTAAACCCGTCCTTTAGTTGGTAGACGGATATCTTGCTGGAGTCATAAGTGACGCAAGTTGGCAAACTAGGTCGAAACTAAGGATTAAAAATCATGGTATAAAGAACTACAAAGTATTTAATTCTTATTACAAATCATGAGTATTTGTAGGGATAAAAGATAAGTATATGATGAATTATTGGATCAGTTATCATCTCTTTAATAATAACGCATTAAATATGTATTTGTATTAAGATGGAAATGAATTATTCGACCACCACAGGCTAATGGATACGATCATGAAGCTATAAGTTAACCTCATTAGCATTTTTTTTAACTATACAATTTTAACAATTTTTTTATCAGAAGGGGTTTTGTGGATATAATAGTAATTTCAATAGTTGAAATCATGAGTCAATTGATGCTAGACCACCATTGGAAACCTGGAAGCACTGAACGGCCGTTTCGTCCTATTGTGCGACTCCTCAGAAGTGCGCATCCACGACCTCGCCCCCCCCCGCAAGGTTCGAACCCAGGGCCTATCAGTCTCGCGCGCGAGCGCTTAACCACTAAATCACTGAGCCGGCATCCAACACTGTTAACGTCTAACTTCAACTATTTTTTTATTACAAACTACCAAATGTAAACTTACAGTTTCTGATCGAATACGTTTCATTTCCACTTCGAATTCTTTATCTAATCGTTCTATTTGTAATTTATAATTACGTATAACAATTTCCATTTTATGATCATAGGTTTTTGTCAATGTCTATACATAGAAAAAAAAATTCAATGAAAAATAGTTCAATATTTCATAAACATTTAATGTGAATTCTGAAGTTTTTGTGTGTAAGGTGGTGATATGACTACATGGTATAGAAGAAACAATTGAGAATTCCTAGTTCATCAAAACTTCCTAGTTGAAGTTGTACAGTAGTATGACGACTTTGTCGTACATGGCTTCAATTAGAAGTCAATGACGGTTTTGTTATAGATTCTCCACATAGTTCTATATAAACATAAAATGAAACCTTTCAAATGAAAGAAACCTCTATTGTTTGGTTTCTTACTGAGAATATATCTTTTAACAAACACTATGCTAATTTATCACGTCATGATTACCTAGTTTTTTGTAGTCACCGGACTTCATCGATCAAGTTGCAGTATAAATATTACTATAAGGAATTGGAAGCCCTGTATACTTAGTTTGGGGGTAATAGAAATTATATGAATCAATTGTGATTAGCTTTCAAAAATCTCTAAATCAGATGCATCGATAAAGGTATTACCATATCGAGAAATGTTACTCCTCGCTTATACGACAATCAAACGACACCTACTTATTGCACATGTTTCCGAAAAATTTCAAAGGAAGAAGCGATGGAATCGGATAGGACACACATTGAGGAAAGCACCCAACTATGTCACAAGGCAAGCCCTAACATGGAATCCTTAAGGCCAAAGGAGAACAGGAAGACCAAAGAACACATTACTTCGAGTAATGGAGACAGACATGAGAAGAATGGAAAACAACTGGATAGAACTAGAAACGAAGGCCCAGGACAGAGTGGGTTGGAGAATGTTGATCGACTGTCTATGCTTCACTGGGAGTAACAGGCATAAGTAAGTAACTGACTGATAAATTCGCCTTATTAAAAAGTTGGATCCCTATTAACAAAACATTGTCACATCATAGTGATCATTATCTCCTGGCTTCATAAAAGTATTTGAACAGTTCACATTTCAATCAATTCCTATTGATCGACAACAGATATTCAATGCAATTAAGATTATATCTTCAACTTCTCTAAATTTTTGTATATACAGGAAATATTGTGAAACATTTTACAGTTGAGATGATGTAGATTTTTAGCTCACGTGGATGATTTCGATGGAGTATTGTACTCTGAGCTGGGTGATTTGGTCGTGTACGACCATCAAAAACACTTTACAGTACAGAGACGGTTATAAATAGTTCGTGTTGAAAGATAACAAAATTTACTTGATTTTTAATTTTGATGATATATTCATAATGAACAATTATAATATCTTATATAACTAGTTGGATGAGACTATGAATTTATGGATGACATTTGAGCGACGCTAAACTGACCTTGAGAGTGTCCACCTGATAACTAGGACCAAATGAATGTTATTAATTAGTGTGACGAACGTGAATTATGATTTACAGTTGATGGTTAAGGTTATGAATTAGACTTAAGGTCTTCATCACGAACCGACATGAGTTATAATGCCAAAACTCTATTTACCCAAATGGATGAGTGAACTTCACGCCAAAATCCAAGACCTGTTATCTTACACGTGATTGGTTGGTCCATAAATTATAGTCTCGCCATTACAGTCATATCTGTTTTGAATTGTCATATGATATTCTTGTACGAATACTGTCGTTAAATATCAACTTTGAAATACACAATTTGATTAACTCGATTCACATACACATGCAACTCAGAAATTTATATGTGGTGTATGTATGAGCGAAATGTAGATCAAAAGTTTGGAGAAATAAAACACACACGATCCCGCTCGCGGGACTCGAACTCAGGGCCTTTGGTCTCGCGCGTGAACGCTTAACCTACTGGACCACTGGGCCGGCATCCAATGGTCCAGTAGGTTGAGCGTTTGCGCGCGAGATCGAAGGCCTTGGGTTCGAATCCCGCGAGCGGGTCGTGGATGCGCACTGCTGAGGAGTCCCACAATAGGACGAAACGGCCGTCCAGTCCTTCCAGGTTTCCAAAGATTGTCTAACATCAATCGGTTCATGATCTCAATCAAAAACTTAATAATCTCCACGACCCCTATACTAGTAAATACAACATAATTCGCATCGTTTGATGGTTACAGAATTGATGTAATAGGTTATAAGAAATAGTCTTTTCGTTATAAAATGAGTCTTCTTCAAGTTTGTCTGAAATTCTCAGATAAAATCGATGATTTATAGAGACGACTAAGACAAAACTAGCATTAGCTAGAAAATAATTATTGTATTATATACCACGAATAGGCTAAAGTTCTTAATATTGAATTTTGGACTTTGATCTGAAAGAATTTTTTTACAACACAAAAACGTAAACTACTTGCATTCAGCTAGATATGAGATGAAAGATGTGAACTCTACAGTCCTCAAACTGAATTGCTGTACAATAACTCCCTTAATTTATATAATCTGAGCACTATCAACTCAGCAAAATAATTTAATGACAGTCAGTCAGCTACAACGTAGGACCAAGCATATATGTGCTTCGGTCCAGGTTGCCATACCTCATTAGCACAACAAGATGAACACCGGATTCATAGGAGAGGTTAGGTCAAAGGTGGTAATATATAGGAGAAAGATTGCATATAAGAATATAATATAGGAAGAAAGAATTAGTTAGTAGAAGGAAAGATATGAAGTGGTTTTAATCTCTTAGTTTAAGGGAAGACAGGGAGTGTATACCCTACGCCATTGTGATCGATTCTGAGCCATGTCACTAAGAGTCTCCAGCCATTGGTTACGAAAGTCACGCGGACCCCAACTAAGTAGTCTGCATCTACCGACATGGCTCAGACTAGAGGTTAGTGACTTCAAGCACTGATGCCACGTTTTGGTTTGGCCGCCCCTTACTTTCTTCCAACCACCTAAGTTAATGACAAGAATAATTATAAAACTAAAATACTGAGAAATACAAAATGCATGAAACAAAAATAACCAAAAAAATCATTAAAGTGTCACTTAAAAACACAACCCAGTAAAATTCGTGTTTCAAGAGTTAGAATAGAATATTTCATACAAGAAGATGATGAAATGCTTTAGGCAAATTCCTTGAAAACTGAATAAAATACATCATCCGATTCTAATTTAATGTCAAGATCCATTTCAATCTTATGTGATGCTTCAAGTACAGAATATCAAGAAATACCAAAACACAAATGAAGTCTATTATTCAGTTATTACTTTAGATAATATAAGTCTACAACAACAAAATTATCTTAAAAATCAGGTCATTCTTAAATGATAACAATCATCAATAATATTACAGTTATGATGAATACATTAATATCGTAAATTGATTGAAGTAAAAAGTGTACATCATTGAATATAAATTTATTGAACTCATCTCCAACTTTTATCACAGTTTCAGTTCTTGATAAAAAAAATTCAGTGTGTACTACTGAGTACACTCATTTCAACGATCAACTAAATCACTACGTAACTTCGTGACAAGTTTCATTGAAATTTTTTTTAATGACCATATAGTCAGTCAGTAGAAACGTAGAACTTCGTACATAATTACATCAGTTCGAGTTGACATACCACATTACCACACACACACACACACAATTGTCGATTCAAATCCCATAATGGTAGAGGCACTAAACCTATAAGCAGTAATCGGGAATGTTAGGGTTTGAAGACGCTATTCAAGGAGCATAATCCGGTGAAATCAATTTCGAAAGAGAAAATTAACAGGGACATGAAGAATTCAGAAGATTAGAATTTCACAGAACACAAAGAGTGGATGCACCTACGCCATTGCAAACCATTTTCAGCCATGTCATTCAAGGTCTCTAACCATCGGTTGCTATCGTCTTGCGGATCCCAACCAGATAGTCTACACCTACCAACATCACTCAGTCCACTTGTCGATCACTTCATGGATTCCTGCCATGTTTTCGTCTGGCCGCCTCCACCTTTCTTCCAACCTACTCCTACACCATAGAACATCACAAGTCCGGGCAGTTGGTGGTCGGGCATACGTAACAAATGTCCCAGCAATCCCAGCCAACTCATGAAGTTTCACTACTTCAACAATTCATTTGCCATTCTTACCTAATACTCGTTTCCGAACAACTACATTACTTATTCAGTGGTCCCAGGATATACAATGTTTCGAGCACACCTATGATCGAGTACTAGTAACCTACGTATATCCTGTACTCTTACCGAGCATGTTTCACCGCCATAAAGTAGGACGGAACGAACTTCTGCGCAGTAAACCCGCCCTTTGGTTAATAGGCGGATATCTCGCTGACGCCAGAAGTAACGCAAGTTGGCAAAAGATAGTCAGGCCTTCGAATTACAAAATTAAATGACAGTAAATGATGAGATTTTATTTTATTGATTCCAATAAATTATAACTCCTATACAAAACACGATTATTTTTTGTATTTAGATAAAAGATTTAAAAAAAAGAAAAGAAAAGAAAAATGACAAACATTTAGTAGAATAATAATAGTAATTAAAGAAGAAGAAGAAAGAATTCATTCAGTTTCAAGTCTTTCCATCAGTTGTATAAATAAATAAATAAACAATATACAACAACAACAACAACCTGAAATGATAAAGAAAAACAAACAAAGACAGATTGATAGATATAGAATTAATGAGAGAAAAAAAAGTATTTCTATACATAGTTCTACTGATGGAACTGTTTTCTTATCTAGTACCTTTTCATATGTAAGTTTAGTTGCTGAATTTTTGTTGTTAACTCCGCCTGCAGCTCTTCTAGAGTTACTGCCGGTCCCAAGCCCGGATAATGGAGGAGGGTTGGGTATGCGGTTAGCAACACCATCCCGTAGAAAACTAACTCGCTAAAAAAACGCTTACCAGAAAAAATTACTTAAACCATTTAAACTCTGCCCTGAGAGTTAGAAGGTTTTCATTTTGAAGAACTATGATGTCTCATGGTGACAGCCGAGTTCCTTCGAAAGCCACAACGCCGATGCTCCTCCTGACAACCAGAGCAACAATTTATTTAGGCATATGGAACACTTGTACAATGTGGGAGACCGGGAGTCTTCCAAATTGCTGCACAAATGAGGAGATACAACCTAGAGGTGCTTGGGATCATTGAAACACATTGGAAGCGAATTGGACAACAAAAGCTAAATACGGGAGAGCTGCTATTCTCCGGTCACGAAGAGGAAAATGCTCCAAACACTCAGGGAGTTGCTCTAATGCTGTCCAAAGTAGCACGAAATGCACTTGTAGGATGGGTATCTCATGGATCCAGAATCATCAAAGCATCATTCAAAACAAAGAAGGAGGGGATCACAATGAATACTATCTAATGTTGTGCACACACCAATAGATAGCAACGACGACATTAAAGATCAATTCTACGAGCGGCTCCGATCAATCATAGAGATCATATTTGCATCAATAAAAAATTCCGAAGGACAATGGAAGATGTTAGAACCAGGAGAGGAGCTGACATAGCTTCAGATCACCACCTAGTTGTGGCCAATTTAAAACTGGAGCTGAAAAAGAACTGGACAAGTGGACAAACAGCACTACAAAGGTTCAATACAGCCTTCCTTTGAGATACTGACAAACTCAATGAATTCAAGATAGCTCTCAACAACATGTTCCAAGCCTTACAAGATCTACTGAAGGAAGAAGAAACTGCTATGGAGGACAACTGGAAAGTTATCAAAGAAGCATTAACTCCAACGTGTCAAGAAGTTCTGGGCCTGAAGAAGCATCATCATAAGGAATGGATCTCTATAGAAACACCGGACAAGATCAAAGAAAGGAAGAACAAGAAGGTAGCAATTAACAACAGCCGAACACGAGCAAAGAAAGTCTAAGCACAAGCTGAGTACATATAAGCAAACAAGCAAGTGAAGAAGAGCATTAGAGACGACAGAAAGAAATACGTGCAAGAACTACCAACGACGACGGAAAATGCTGCAAGAGAAGGAAATATGAAACAGCTTTACGATACAATGAAGAAACTATCAGGGAAATACAGTAAACCAGAGAGACCAGTCAAAGACAAAGAAGGCAGGCCAATCACTGAAATTCAAGAACAGCGGAACAGATGGGTAGAACACTTTGAAGAACTCCTGAATAGACCGGCTCCAATGAATCCAGTGGACATCGAAGCAGCACACACAGATCTTCCTATAGATGTCAATCCACCAACGACGGAAGAAATCAGAATGGCCATCAGACAAATCAAGAGCGGGAAAGCAGCAGGACCCGACAACATACCAGCCGAAGCACTGAAATCAGACGTCGAAGTAACCACAAGCATGCTTTACCCTCTTTTCAAAAAGATTTGGGAGGAGGAACAAGTGCCGATCGACTGGAAAGAAGGACACCTCATCAAGATTCCAAAGAAAGGAGATCTGAGCAAATGTGGAAACTACAAAGGAATCACACTACTGTCAATACCAGAGGAAGTCTTTAACAGTGTTTTGCTGAACCGGATGAAAGATGTAGTAGACGCCGAACTTCGAGATCAACAAACTGGATTCCGTAAGGATCAGTCGTTCACTGACCAAATTGCAACACTACGGATCATCGTCGAACAATCAATTGAGTGGAACTCGTCACTGTACATCAACTTCATTGATTATGAAAAGGCATTTGATAATGTGGATAGGAGGCCGTTATAGAAACGTCTTCGACACTACCGAGCTCCTGAGAAGATTGTCGACATTATCCGGAACTCATGCGACGGACCACAGTGTAAGGTCGTGAATGTAGGACAGCTGACAGACGCATCCCAAGGAGGGACCGGAGTCAAACAAGGCTGTCTACTCTCTCCCTTCCTCTTTCTTCTGGTGGTTCACGACGACAGGCAAGCCCGACCACCATGTCAAGGTATTAGCAACGGTTGAAGCAATAGAGGATATAAGAAGTATGATGCATATTATCACAAATAATAAAGATATCATCAACATACTTGAAGAAATATATTTTTATTCTGTTTCATGTTTTCATTCTGCTTTTCCTAAGTTAACTATAAAAATATTGGCCATTACAATGATGTAATCGTTTATTTTATAATGATCAATGGCAATTATAATTTTCTAGAGACCAGTGGAGTTCAACCAGGTCTGTTGTGAGATAGTAACTCACTGAAGATAATGGTGGATATGTCGCTCAATTTCATGGATTAGTTGAAGTTAGACATTAACAACGTTGGAAACCCGATTAGTGACATAGTGGTTAGGCGCTCACGCTCAAGACTGATAAGTCCTAGGTTCGGATCTCGCGAGGCGAGATCGTGGATGCGCACTGCTGAAGAGTCCCATGCTAGGACGAAATGGCCTTCCAGTGCTTCCAGGTTTCCATGGTGGTCTAGCTTCAATTGACTCATGACTATAATTTCACTGTTTTCTCTTTCAAAAAGTAAATACCACGTTAATCTTTGACAAGTTTCTATCCTATTCCATTTTTTTTCTTAAATATAATTTTCACTTCTGTTTCAAGTATTCATTTCAACCTCATTAACTAATCTATATCATACATTTCTTATCCATTTTAAGCTGTTTCCAGTCTATGATCACAACTCAGTTAGTTACATAATTAATAGGGTCATGCACACAATAAACTGAATTAGGAAAGAAAAAAAATGGGTAGAGGAAAGTTGGATAAGTTAGTTTATGAAAGGGTAAGAGCTTATGCATCATGGATCGAGTGTAACGCGACCTCGACCTTTTTTTAAGATTGTGACAAAATATCATGTCTTGTTTTGTTTGTTTTTCATTCACTTAATCAAGTTAGTATAAGACAATCACATTTGCAACAACAACAACAACAAAAAGATGTAACAAGTGATATGAATTACAATATAATCGAACCAATTACGTAACTGACTAGAATATAATTAGACAAAAAATGGGTAAGTTTTTTCATGTTAGCAAGATGAGTTGAAATTTAAAAAAAAAGAGGACGACAGGTTTTACAAAACCAAAACAAAACAAACAAACTATCTTGGTTACTTGAGAAATGTAAAGTTTATTCGGTTGAATATAAAAGATATAATTTCAATGGTTAAGATCATGCGTCAGTTGAAACTAGATCACCATGGAAAACCTGGAAGCACTGGACGGCCGTTTCGCCCTACTGTGGGACTCCTTAGCAGTGCGCATCCACGACCTCGCCTCCTACGAGATTCGAACCCAGGACCTACCGATATTAATCAACATATGCTCACTTGTGACTGGCTTCACGAGGTAAATCTTGGAGTTCTAGTGAGAAGCTGTGATCAGTGGAGTCTAACCAGGTCTGTTGTGAGATAGTAACTCACTGAAGACAATGGTGGATGTGTCGCTCAATTTCGTGGATTAGTTGAAGTTAGACATCAACACCACTGGACGCCGGCTCAGTGGTCTAGTGCTCGCACGCGAAACCAGTAGGTCCTGGGTTCGGATGTTGCAAGGAGCGAGGTCGTGGATGCGCACTGCTGAGGAGTTCCACAGTAGGATGAAGCGGCCATCCAATGCTTCCAGGTTTTCCGTGGTGGTCTAGCTTCAACTGAATGATGATCTTAACCATTGAAATTTCTATAATATCCACAAAACCCATCTGATATAAAAGATATAAGGTGAATATCTAGATTCAATGAAAAGGGGAAATAGTTACATTAGAGATACATCGAACAGTACAAAGAGAGGTTTATAAGTGCGTATTCAGAATGTCAATTGATGAGTCACTGTTAGTATAAAAAAATTTCTGAGCAAGTTGCCCTAACAAAGCCTTTTTTTAATTTCAAGATTTCATTAATATCTAAATTATGACTAACAGTAGAACCGATCAAATGCAAACTATATTCACAATGAGGGAAAACTGAAAACCACTGTTAACACCTTCATACTCACTGAAGAAGATTGTGATTATTTGAATTCATTAGTTTAATAAATGAGTTGGGATTCGAAATAATAGATACTGGAATGAAATTTCAGTATAGATATCAACATAGTGATCCATGTACATGCAGGTGATATATGCCAAGCAAGAAAAAATATCAGTCTTGAACTATATAACTAGTCACATTTCAAATAATTAAAGTGCCTATAAAAAAAACACAAATACCCAACAACCATTGGTTTAACTTTATACGAACTGACTTCGATTCATGAAGTGTATCATCTTAAACACGTGAATAATTACACTAGACACAAATTTGTCAATATTTGCATTATACAACCTCATTGAGTATGAAAATCTTCAAGTATTAAAATGATCTCTATGCAACAACAACAAAAACAAAAGGGGAGGGGAAAAAAAGCATGAATATCTACCCTTAACAACTTAAAAGAAGACCTACTGAAAATTCTGCATTCATTTTATTCTCTAATATATCAATTTGTTGTTGTGCACGTTCATTCAGTTCACGTGTTTGATGTGCTTCTTGTTTGGCTAATATTCTGAATGCACGTAAAGCAGCTTTACGTTTAATTCTAATAGAAAGTTTTTTTTGTTTAGAAAAAGAGAAAGTAGAAAATTAGTCGAATAAAGTAATTTCAAAACGGTAACTGACTGATTAAGGCATTTGTTATTTAATAGTACAATAAAATGACATAGATACTAGCTCCCCCACTTACCCATATAAAAATGTGTGATTGATTTAAAAAGAAGATAAATTAATCGACATTTGACACCCAGGTAATATGGGAGAATAACAAATAACTAGGATAATAAGCTGCCAAAATTGATCAATTCAATTCTAGTTTACCTGTACTTGTAATCATTTACCAAGGCCATATCTTAATCACATTCGGGAGGATCTACCTGAGTAGTTTATCTAATGCTGAAATAAGTGAATCATGTTATCGATTCTGTAACACGCAGCAAATAAAAGACATTTAGATCCTTTAAACAATCAAGTCAAAAACACTAAGAGATGTATTTCTTAAACTATTTTGAATTGTGCAAGTTTGCGTTATCCATATATATATAAACATTGGTACAAGGAGGGACCAAATACATATGCCCCACACAGATCATTCGATTAGCGTGAAAGCTGGAATATTCCCCGTGCACCCTAACCGAAGCAAGATTTTCATATTTATATAAAATAACGTATACATAAATTACTTCATTTTTTCACCAGACAAGGAGAATTCAATTGTCACAAAGTGATAAGAAAATGAACAAAAATAGGTTAGTATCAAGTATATAGAAGTTTATTAAGGCAGTAAACTGAGTAAATTTGAGTCAGTGTTGTGAATTTTAACCCGACAACATCTCATATCCTGAATAAATTATCCTGAACGTTGTACAGACTTCAATAGGAAATAATATATCTTCACATTAGGAAAAACAAGCTTCATATTGACTTATATTCTATCAGTGTTTCAATTGTTATTTATTAATTTCTGAAATTTGTCTTAGTTCTCTCTTTACCCAAATTTTGTTTACCATCAATTTATCAGATATTGGTTAATTTTTTTAAGATTTGTGTTAAATTGTTTGTGTTTATTATATTGACAGTGAGACTATAATTTATGAAAGACCTTTGAGCGACGCTAAACTGGCCTTGAGTGTCTACCTAATAACTAGGACCAAATGAAGGTTGGACGCCGACCGCCTCAGTGGTCTACAAGTTAAACGTTTACGTGAGAGGACGAGAGGTCCTGGGTTAGAACCTCGCGGGACAGGATCGTGGGTGAGCACTGCTGACGAGTCCCACAGTAGGACGAAACGGTTGTTTAGTGCTTCCAGTTTTTCTATGGTAGTCTAGTTTCAATTGACTCATGAATTCATTTATTAAGTGAATACAAACTATTTAACCGACGATATATTTGTCTTGTTTATGAATACAAAACTTTAGTCTCAAGAACAATTTACTATAGAGATAAGATGGTGAGATTATAATTTAGGGAAAACCTTTGAGCGACGCTAAAGTGACCTTGAAACTGTCTACCTAATAACTAGGACCAAATGAGTGTTAGAAACGAGTGTGAAGAATTAGAATTATGATTTACAGTTGATGGTTAAGGTTAGAAAATTAGACTTAAGTTCTTCATCACGAACTGACATTGGCTATAATGCCAAAACTCTATTTAGCCAAATGAATGATTGAAGTTCGCGCTAAAATTCAAGACCTGTTATCCTATACCTGATTGGTTTGTCCATAAACTACAGTCTTGCCAATATTGACCAGCTGATACAGCAACGTTAGAACTTGTAAATTATTACTAATTGACAGATAAATATTTCATTGACGATGAGGGGATAGAATTTGACATTTTTCACAAAATGTACTAATAATAATAATCAAAACGATGACTCACTGTTCGTCTTCACAGAACCTTTTATCTTCTAAATTAGTGTTTACAATGCGTTTCGATGTTGTAGTAATCGTTTGACCATCAATAACAAATCTACGCGTTCGTGTTCTTGTACGATAAGCACTATTTTGACGTTTAAGCTGAAATTCATAATAAATAAATGGACAAGTACAAGATAGCCAACACGGTGTAATTAAAACAAGGACATAAACCCAAGACATTGTATCGTAATATACTAAGACAGAATTATCAGTATTATGACACATAATTGAATTTTATAATTAACATCAAGAATTGATTTTAACTAGACCACTATTAAACAACCAAAAAGTATCAAACACTTGTCTCGCCCTAGTATGCGACTTCTCAGTTGTACCGACCCACGACCTCAACAGAAATGGAGCCCGGAACATTCAACTTCCATAGCGAAAGATTAATCTTTGAAACACAGCTGGAAACTAATGGTTCACATGTCTGACTTCAATTAATTCTACTTCACATTGAAGATGGTTGAACCTTACTAGTTAAGGCTTCTAACTAAAATTCATCTGTGATGTAGACCATAAAACACAAATTGATTATTTACCTTACATCCTAAAAAGCTAGACAACTACATATGATTTTGTAAACACCAAAGAATAATAACGATAACAAATTAAGATAGAGTTAAACCATAATAATCCAGTACATGAAATAATTTCACAATAGTATGATGGTATCAAATTATGAATATTGAAAATAAGGAAGGAAAAAGATGTTGCAACGAGCAAAGATTTGTGTATATTCCATCGCTTGTCGTCTGTTCAACATGGGGGCAAAAGAATGCCGTCATAGGATATCCACCAAAATATGTGCCCAAACACGCAAGACAATATATGAGGTTAACTAGTAGAACTAATTTGAAAACTTATCCGGAAACGATCGAACTGACACACCAATACTTTGTCTCATGATAACTTTTAAATTGGACACTAATTGGATCGATACCAGTTTACACAGAAGCAAAGTATTTACAGAGCTCCGAAATATACCTTATGTTTTAGGTATGAGGACTAATGAGCAACGTGTCTTTAAATAACCTATCCTTATTTTGTAAATATCCTCTTTTCTTTTGTGTCGGCCTGATCATGACAGTAAATAAGTTTTCATTCTGTAATCATATTTAATATACCTATAGTGGAGCGGTGTTTAGTGGTTAAGGCGTTCAACTTTCACCTACTGGCCCCTGAATGCCCTGTTATAACTGAGGGTGGTCACGCGTATATAGCCACAACCACAGAAGTCGTACCACAAATGTTCTTTACGAAGTTTACAGGACAAAAAGCGAATGTCTGGTGGTTTAACCGTGTTCATGGATATGGAATATCTACAGAGGAAAGTTGGAAAACCCTGATTACAAACCAATGGTGCATATAAGCACCAGGGTCATGAGGGAAAAAATGGTGTATAGAACTAATGCTGGTCATCGGCAACCATGGGACTTCATCTCCTAACGTTGCTCTACTGCCTTATGGAATAGACCACTAAGTCAAAGGTTCGAGGAATAGCCCTATACGTAAACCACCTGCTTCGGTTTTGGCGCCCGGACAGTATCCCAGCGCTCACACATTTCATTCGACTTATGCATGTATTTGGCGCTTTCATGTACCAATGTTTATGTGTTTAAATAAATGTTAAAATAAGTAAATATCAGCAATTAAATCCCATCCTCAGGTTCGAGATTCGTCCGACCTATTTGAGTTTGGACAATTGATTAGTTTCATTAGTCATTACACTTAATGTTTGGCTCACAATTAAATACCTGGTGAATAATATAATATTTGTTGTCATACATCAGTAGTAACTAAGAAACACTTTTGGTTTGTATCAACACAAAAATACATAATATATTTAAACACTAACTGAATAGTTGAACAATTTGTATATGGATAATGATTAAAGTTTTAATTTTTAGAATATCTACTTAAGCAAAACATATCCAAAGTAAACAGAAAAAGTGGTTATTTAAAACAATAACCTATTTCAACATAAAATTGAAATGTGTCAATTTTGTTGATTCAGTAGTAGGTATATGTGTAATCAATCTATCCACTACTAGTATGTAATCATTCATTTGTTTAACCGATGGATAATAATTGACTATTGATACATAAATAGACAAATAGGTGGTATTTGATTTTTTGATTGAGATCATGAACCGATTGATGTTAGACCACCTTTGGAAACCTGGAAGCACTGGACGGCCGTTTCGTCCTATTGTGGGACTCCTCAGCAGTGCACATCCACGATCCCGCCCGCGGGATTCGAACCCAGGGCCTTTGGTCTCGCGCGCGCGAACGCTTCACTTCTAGACCACTGAGCCCGCCTGCAATGATGATAGTGTCTAACATCAACCAATCCACGAAATCGCGCGACCATCTTCCATTGTACTGAGGTAGATACCTGTCTCTACGCGACATGGACATTTGAATTAGTGATTTATGATTTTTCCGAGTTAATAAGATGAAAATATTGAATATTTTAAAAACTAAACTTATTTTACTAACATTTAAGCTCATACTTTCTACAAGGTGAATGAGTTAAGTACCAACCAGAGGTGTCATCTATCCTATGTTATGTGCTACTTATATAGACATAAGTAGTATACAACCCTACTCAGGAATAGAAGGTCTGGAAGCAGGACGTCGAGAAAATCGAGGAGGAAAGAACGCGAACAGAGATTGATTGGTATGGGAGCACAGGAACAATCGAGTCCAAGACAATTGATTGACATTTTACCAATGAAGTATTTATTGTATGGTTCTCAGATTTTGTTTCCAAATACGTTCGATTGTACTCACTTGTGTTCTCGTTCACTATAGTAGTGGTGAAGTGAACGGAGACTGTCAATATAAGTAGCGCATGCCACGGTAGTAGTACAGTGAACGAGGACAACCAAATGTAATTGAATAGAAAATTACAAAATCACCTAGTAGAACCTGAGAACCATACAATAAATACCTCATTTGCAAAATATCAGTCCATTGTCTCAGACTCGATTGTTACTTCGTTTCCACACCAATTATTCTTTATTCTCGTTCTCTTTCCTCCGATCTTCTTAACCTTCTGTCGCCAGACATTTCACTTTCGATGCTACTACTACTATATACTACTTAAATCTGTCGACAACAGTAGTACTAACGAATAACTCTTACAAACAGAAGATCAACTATCATTAGCGAATAAGTGTTAATTCCTATAAGAACAAGACTTTTACCTATCATATCATAGTAAAATGTTTAACTACATTTCGCATTTATTTCCTTATGGTGTAATATATATTTAATATAGGTTCCAGTCATTAGAGTATAGTCATACAGTTCACGGGAAAGTTAGTGATACTACTCCACTACATAAAGTAAAGTATATGATGTGCGTTTTAAGCATACAAAATAATAATTAAAGGCCGAATCCTTCAATTAATAAGTCATTGATCTTAATTTCTTTCATATGATGAATGAACTGGGAATATAATAAAATGGAATGAATTCCAAACAGTGAGATGAAACTAGGTATCTATAACGAATGAAATGGATAATTCACTATTGATACACGTAAATTAACCATTTAATCGTCTAAAATTAGCAATTAGTAGTAGATAGGAAAATTTGACCCAAAGGAAGTCTCATCAGCCCTTGTGGTCTGGTGTGTGACGAAATCTCAGCACGGATACAGAAGGCTCGACTAGCTTTTGCAAACTTGCGTCATTTATGGCGTAGGAGAGATATCCGTCTATCAACCAAAGGACGTGTTTACTGCGCAGCAGTTCGTTCCGTCCTACTTTATGGCAGTGAAACATGGCCGGTAAGAGTAGAGGATATTCGTAGGTTACTAGTATTCGATCGTAGGTGTCTTCGAAATATTGCTCCTATATCCTGGGACTATCGAGTAAGTAACGCAGTTGTCAGGAAACGGGTACTAGGTAAGGATGGCAAATCAATTGATGAAGTAGTGAAACTTCATCAGTCGAGATGGCTGGGACACGTGTTACGTATGCCCAACCACCGACTACCTCGACGTGCTATGTTCAGTGGTATAGGAGTAGGTTGGAAGAAAGCTAGTGGCGGCCAGACCAAAACATGGCACAAGTCAATGAAGACACTGACAAGTGGTCTGAGTCATGTCGGTAGGTGTAGACTACCTGGTTGGGGACCACGAGATGATAGCAACCGATGGTTAGGGACCCTGAATGGCATGGCTCAAAATCGTTTGCAATGGCGCAGGTGCATACACTCTTTGTGTTCTCCAAAACTTTGATCTCCTTATTCTTCCTTGTCTCTTTTTTTCTCTTCCCAATTTTATTTCACTGTATTATACTCTTTAAATAACATCTCCAAACACTAATTTTTCCGATTACTGCTTATACTCTTATTACCTCTATCACTATGGGATTTGAATCGACAACTGCATCTCTGTGCTAATGTGGTGTGGCAACTCGAACTGATGTACGTACGTACGAAGTTCTACGTTGTTACTGATTGACTGACTGACCCAAAGGATATTTATGGGACAATTGAATTGGGTCACGTAGTTATCCAGAGTACTGGTAAAATTGGTGGTAATCGATAGATCTATCGCCCATATACTTATATTTCAACTGGTTAAACGATGAATATGAGAACTAGTTCAAACTGCCACATTTTATCGGCACAGTGAGATGAAGTCTCTAAGACTAATTTACAGTAGTAGATGTAGTAAAAGTATGAATGATCGTAGAAAACATTAGGCATGAACAATCTGAATCGAATGGAAAGAATTAATTCACGGAAATAAAAAGTATGGGCTTTAAAACTCAGGATCTAAGCGAAGACAAAGAGCAACTGCATCTGCAACATTGCAAGAAGACTCTAAACCCATGTCGTCAGTTACGATAACTGCACGGACCCTAAACAAATAGTCTGAACATTCTACATGGCTCAATTCATACGTAATATACGTCCTAACTATCTAAGTCCCTACTCAGTACCCTGCGTACAACCTCGAAATCGCACACTCAGTGACCCCAACATACGTGGTGAGTGCTTTGGAGATGTCTGTAGGTAAATACTAATAACATAAGAATACCTTCGATTTTTAAAGACTCCGTTTTACAGTCAAAAAATAGGACAGAAAGAACTGCTAGACACAAAGACAAAAATGACAGACTATGATGAAACGCCTGTCGAACCCTCTCAAGTCTCTAGAGTATTTACAATCAATATCAATCCATTATAATACTAACCGTAAACTGAACACTTGTAACAAAACCCTTTCTTCAGTAATATTTATGGGCTCATTAATGAAAGGCTTCCAGATAGATTTCTTGAAGCTCTAGTGAACGGCCATGAAAAAGAAAATACTGCAAACTAAGAATGAATGAGAAAATCATTGATGAAACTTATCGAAGATAGAAAGTATGTGATATTGACACAGTATCGTGACACTTTCAGGTTTTGAGTGATAATGTTGTGAGACCGATGGTGTACACTGTTGTCTAGTACCTACGTTTTTTAAATAGCTACTCAGTTGAGGTCTATACACGACGATAAAAAAAGAGTTCAATATAAATGACCGAAATCAGTCATCTAAAAAAATCAAGACACTAACATTACATAATCCACATTCATAATGAAAGATCATATTCCACCCTTTATATGACTCTAAGGAACAAAAGTTGACTTACTGGAGATACAGCCATTTTCGATTTATTATTATCATGAAAATCAGTTGTTGAAGGCAATGATGAAAGTGGATCTTTCAATCCATCATTGACGACAAGAGATTTATGTTCAATAGTTTCTGATGGAGTCAACTGTTTCTTAGGATGAACAATTGTTTCACGAATACGATTGTTAACATTACTATTAGCCTTAAATATAAAACAGATATTAACATAAAAGTGATTTAAATAGTTAATAAGTACATTTTATGAATAAGGTATAGAACATCCGTTTATTACTCTTCAGACAGTGTAATATGTTATGAAGATTAAAAACATTAAATCAAATATCTTATACTTATGATTAAAACTAAAGATCTATTGTGTGGCTTTTTTCTTTAGCTCAATTAAAATAGATAGAAATCTCATCATAAACAATAAAGGAACTGATATAGATGTATGATAACTTCGATAGATCATATTTTCACAAGAGTAAAATGGACTGAATTGGTGAACGAGGAAGAACAACAATGAAAATATTAACACACATGGTAATAATCCATAAAAGATGTATGTTTGGCGATGGTTTATTATTTAAAAGGAAATAACCGATAAACATTACATTGAATAATAACTGATTTAAATGACAACCTCTCAAATGTACAGTATAGAAAACAATAATCAACTCTTAGTGCAATAGAGAACACACCAATATCTCATTAGACGGATCAAATATTTATAACAACATATATAAGCGAACAATATTGTTTTCGACTAGATCCTCATCAGTGTTTTTTTAGCGAGTTAGTTTTCTACGGGATGAGGTCGCTAACCCCATGCCCAACCCTCCTTCTTTATCTGGGCTTGGGACAGGCAGTAGTCCTCGGAGGGACTCCAGGCTTTACTCTAATATACAGTAATGTATTTATATGCATATATGAAATAATTAAACTAATCAAGGTAGTTATTTCACAGTGACTACCTATTTTTCTAATCATTGGCCTTTTCCTATTATGTAACATTGATTCACGCCTTTATTATTGCTTACCACAACTAGTACACTTGTCATTACACTATCAATTTGTACTTTTCACTTATTTATGTGATTTATTCTACTGTTATCATTATTGACTCATAAACTACCTGGATTGGTTTAATAATTTCGTATATGCATATAAATACATTACTGTATATTAGAGTAAAGCCTGATGAGGATATAATCGAAAACAATATTGTTCGCTTAGATATATATGTTGTTCTGGATCAAATATTGCACACACAAAAAAGATACTCCAAGGAACAAGTGTTATCTATTACACGCAATAAACTTGATTAGTATCGAAATAATTTGATAGTAGTCACTATTAAATTAATTAAATGAACGTAAATCACTTATTGACTTGTCAATATTTGTAAAATAATACTCAATAAACACAATATGAACGTTATACAAAATGGAAATGATATAATACACTACTAACGGTCGATGAGTTTCAAAAGGGACGAAACTCGACTCTTGAATATTAATACTAACGTTTCTATTCAAATTACAATCAATTTGTAAATATTAGTAGTATTTAGGTCTCAATAATGAAATTAGTGTTGAATATAAACAACAAGAAACTATAAGTAATAATGTTAGTTCTGGTTAACTGATTTGTTAAACAAAAGCGTTAATAATACTGAATTGAAATAAGCAGAATACACTGTCAGCTATGCACCAGGTCATCGATAATACCGAGTAGACTCAATCACGTGTAAGAGAATAATGTGTTTAGGATGTTAGTGATAACAAGCGTTAGAAATCAAATGCTGAGACCATTTTGTACAATAAACAAATACAAATTAGTGTATTCCATTCTTTTGCAAGCGTGACCAATTATTTATTATGATAGATTATACAAATGACTATTGAAATGAAAGGATATAATACTGATCGATAGATGGTATACACTGATACGAAGTATGACCAAGTGATGGCTTTTCAAGAAACCTAATTATCGATGTAAGCACCTGAACGATTTGATATCAATTTTTACAGTTACTTATCCTTTACTAAGTAAAAGGTTAACTGTTAGACAATCCCATCCTATCACAATGAACATAATGGCAGTTTAAACCGAAGTGGCGTAGGGAATATAAACATATCAACAGCATTGTAAATCAGAACAAATGAACAAGGCAAAAGTCAAACACTAAACAGTTCTTACTTTTCCCTTAGCAACATGTTCCATTTTAGCAGTAGAATTAGGAACAACAGAAGTGGTGATGATCGTGGCATTAGAAGTAATAGAAGTAGTATATGGTGATTTGACAACAGTCGAATGAATATCATGCATAAGTTCAAATACACATGATGTAATTGAAGGTGATTTTGTGTCAGAAGTGATTACATCTGTAATTAATTGATCGACTATTTCATCAATCATATAATCATTCATTTTGTTATTCTACACAATCACATAATACATATGTGAGTAGATAATATATAGAGAGAAAGAAATGAGGAAATATTATATTAATGATAAAGATTAGATAGCATTAAATTAAATAAAGCGAAAATGAGACAAAGCGAAAAGCAAAATAGCAATTATAGCATGATAATTAAATAAAATCCCTTTTTTAATATCAAATTGAATATAATGGAAAATATAATTGGTTAGTTACTAGTTAATCGAATCATGTTAGTGATTAAGAAAAAACATTAAGTAATATAACATAGAAAATCATAGAGTTGTCTTTATTGAATAAATCATCCTATTGTGGGACTTCTCAGCAATGCGCATCCATAATCCAGCTCATGGGATTCGAACGCGGGGCCGTCAGTCTCGCGCGCGAACGCTTCACCTTTAGACCACTGAGCTGGCCGGCATCCAACAGTGTTGATGTTTAACCTCAAGCAATCCACGAAATTTCTCGACTGAAAACTTTCATTGTATTGAGGTAGATACCTGTCTCTACCTGACACGGATTAGCTCCACTGGTCACGGATTCTCACTAGGACTCCAAGAATTTCCTCACGAAGATAGTCACTAGTGAGCACATGATAATTGTCAGTATGCGGTTGTAGAGATTATTAAGTTTTTGACTGAGATCATGAACTTATTGATGAAAGCTTTTTATTATCTAAAATAGCATGAGTTCCATCAATCAGTAACAACGTAGAACTTCGCACGTACGTACATCAGTTCTATCAATTATACTCGTTAATGAGAGCCAATCAAAAAGAAATTTAAAGTCACATTACAAAACTTCAAAAAAATTTAGTTCATGTGCTTAATAGAGAGGTAATCATATGGTGCATAGGTTGGTATATCTCATGAACGATTATTATAAGCATGAATAGTTGTCTATAAATCAAATAATACATATATTAATTTCAATTGAAGCTAGATCACCATGGAAAATCTGGAAGCACTAAATGGCCATTTCGTCCTGTCGTGGAACTCCTCAGCAGTGTGTATCCACGATCCCGCCCCTCGACATTCGAACCCATGACTTATCAGTCTCGCTCACGAGCGCTTAACCTCTAAACCACTGAGCCAGGCGGCATTCAACGATGTTAACGTCTAACTTCAATTAATCCACTAAATTGCACCACCGTCCACCATTGTCTTCAATGTGTTATACTATCACAACAGACCTGGTTGAACTACATTAGTTCGAACCCGGTGAGAGGGATCGTAGATGCGCATTACTGAGAAGTCCCAAACTAGGACAAAACGTCCGTCTATTTCTTCCAAATTTTTCATAATGGTCTAACTTTAATCTCCACAAATTCAGAGATATATTGATAAAAAAGCATTGAATTTGTTAGCTTTTTTTCCTTCTTTATAGCAAAAGTGCATAATAGGAAGAAGAAGCCTGATCACTTTTATATGACATAATTATGCAACAACAATAGATCAAATGTGCAATTGTATCATCATGTGTACATATAATGATGGGGATTTTCTTTTTAAATCAAATAGCATTCAATTTAGAGCACTTATTTTTTTGTTTTATTTATAAATAATCACTAGGTGTTGGATTTATATAATCAGCTGTGTATCGTGTAGATGAGAATGTGAATTGTATTTACTTGTTGTTGTTGAGATTTTCCATAATCATATATGATTGTTGATTTTATATTATCAACATTATGATTCTTTTTTATTATTGGTGATAAAATTGGTAAATTGATTTCAGTTCGCCAAATTTTCTTCGATATAATTGGTTTAATAGATGGTAAATCTATAGTGACCATCGATTTATCTATCCATGTAGGACATACAGTAACTTTAAAAGAAGTATGATGAGTAGTTGCTGATTTATTATGATTGTTTCTTGATTGTATGGTATTAATTGATTTTTCACATGATAATTGATTAGTGTTAGTTGATACCGGTACGTTATTCGGTTTGTAAATCGATGAGATAGTGAATAATGAACCGGATTTTCTTTGACTGACATGTGCAACAGTAGATCGACGTTTTACTTTAGAACGCATTTTCACAACTGGTTTAGTGGTTGTCTGTAGTAGATCTTGTTTCAAAGAACATGACCGAGCTATTGCAACCAATGATAGTCCTGGCATTTTCCCCACCTTCTAACATAATGAATTGTATTCGATTTTAAAAAGTAGCTACATTTTTCGAAAAAATTTTCAACTGAAACTCAGATAACGAAAAGAACTTCAACAATAAATGTAAAATAAACCTGGTTGAAACTACTAATAACAAAAATATTTTAACCAATACAGTGAATAATCAACTGTACTACCTTATATTGTTTATATAACATCACAAAACGCGAAAATACTTACGAGATGAGGATCATTTTTAGAAAGAATATGTTAATAGGTTGAATGAAGTTGGGAGGATCCCCTGAGCCCAAGTTTCGTGTTACTTGGAACACGTTATTAAAGTACATTTTAAATCTTGAAAGAACTAATTCTCCTTATAGGACTCATGCCTACATTACTCAATTTTACAATAGTTACCACTGGATAGTAAAGTTAATTATAACTTAAAGTCTCTGTGTACTATATTCGCTTTCAAATGATTGAATGTGTTATTATTGTTATAGAACTAATATTTACAAATCATGACTAAACAGATAGAAGAAATTACATTAAGATTTACACATTCACAAATGTATAATGAGAAAGAGATTGGTTAAATTATTAAGTGATATAGAGAGCAAACAACAGCAAATGTAAATACAATAATACTTAGTAACATAAACAATAAAACACACCAATGAACTGGTTAAAAATCTTCTAAAAATACAATTGGTCTGCTAATTTTGTCTAACTATGGAAACAGCAAACTTAACGGATAAGATATTTACGAATTGATGTAAGAATTCAACAAACTACACTATAATGATATGATATTGACTTTATTGAATTGCAAAAAAAAACAGAGAACATACAACAATGGAGCAATGAGCTGTAGTGTAGTTGAAACACTCGATTTCCAACCATTAAGCATTCGCACCATCCACATCTATTTGAGCAACTGGTTAGTATTATTTATTATCATACAGAGTGAGACTTTAAAACAAGCAAGGTACATAATAAAAATAGGGTTTATCTTCTTATGTTTTATTATCTATACATCATTCGATATGCTGTCTACAAAAAAAATATTAGTACAGCTTGATGATAATTTTTATTCTTGAAAAATTAATAAACTAATTTTCAAGTTTGATCTTCATCCAGTTGTCTACGCAAGATATTCAACATCCATTGGCCGGATACCATCAGCAACAGCCTACTATGTGAGAGAACAAACCAGCTTCCAGTTGAAGAGAAAATTAGGAAAAGATATTCAAAGTGGATAGAATATACATTACGGAAATCACCAAACTGTATCACGAGACAAGCCCTAACTTGGAATCCTGAAGTGAAGCGGAAAAGAGGAAGGCCAAAGAACACATTACGTCGGGGAATAGAAGCAGATATGAAAAGGATGAATAACAACTAGAAAGAGCTGGAAAGGATTGCCCAGGACAGGGTTGGATGGTGAGTGGCCTATACTCCTTAACGAGGAGTAACAGGAGTAAGTAAGTATTACTTCATATTCAACTTGGTTGACTCTAAAGGCGATAAATTCCCACTGGATTTTCAGAAGTGACCCAGAATCTCTGTAAGTGAAGTTATTGGTTTGCTTGAACGTTCCAAAACTTAACGCAATAGCGTTCATTCAGTAATTTTGTTTGATCCCGTTCGAATCAAGCTTGATTCGTTATCGTTTACTGTTTTGCCGGTAGTGTTTTATGATGATGATGATGATATCTGATAGAGTAACACCATTTCTATTGCTATAAATAACTAATGATTATTTTTACAGATTCCGTACTACCGATAAAATTTGTGCGCAAGTATAGTGACATGTGATTGTTGCGATAAATCCTGTGTCGTGCGATTTAGATACTTTAGTATGGGCAGAGTCATATAAATCGTATTCTGAGACCTGCATAATGGTCGTGTTTAACCCATTCATTACAATCTCCTTTGACAATATTATATCGTAAATTGATTGATGATGAAAGACTGTGTCAATGAATATCGATTAATTAGTTGATGGCAAAGGGATTGCATAAAGAACAGGTAATTCAAAGACATGAACTGTGGAGATAACCAACTTAATAGTTAGGATAAATTTTTCTTTCTGTTACAAATTTACCACATTTAAAAAATTCTACACAACTCAACTAATATACAGTGGCATAAAGATAATGTACTCTTATAAACAGTTTGCAGCTCTCAAGAATATAGCGAAATATCTCATCAACTTCCCCAATGTTATATCAGCTTCACATGAAATACTGAAATAAGTAATCAAGCTTGAAATATAGTAAGATGTATTCAAATAATCGAAGAACTCAGATTACAATTTAGTCATTTAGTAGTAATTGAGATATATTATACAGAGACTAATAGTACTTCATACACGAATTAATTTAAATAAAGTAGTATTTTAAGAATATTTCCATTAGATCTACTTAGTTAACCTTGACCTAACTTATAAACGGATTATTATTACTTGAGTACAGAGTAACAATAATGAGATAATCAATAGATAGCACATTACTAGGTATGATCACATACACTGAACAATTAACTTTAATAGTACACAGATTAACAGCAAGAAAATCTGAAATGATAGTCAATGTCAAAATGTAAAAAGTTAATATACTTGACCTGCAATTACATCCTCAAGAGTGATAAAAAAAAATCGAACTAATATGGGTTTCTTTTTGTATAAAGTAAAGTTGATTATCAACGACTAGTGCTTATGTGTAGATTTTTGTAAACATTTTGTTATTTATATTCACGTCCCTCTTATTATGAGATTTGTTTTGACCTATGAACTATTATTATACCATTTACCATTCTCGAGTTATGCCCTGTCTATTAATTACTACCTACCCCATTCACAGCCACTTTTGGCTAAATCTTGTACAAATGTTGTTTTCTATTTTATGGTACGATATGGTCCATCTGGTTGGTATATGAACCCAGTATGTTTGGAATACATAATTCATACTGCAGAGGCTGAGATTGGTGTTCTGGACTTAACTGGATGCGTGGGTTAGGCAGGAAGCAGGACCGATAAAGACCCTAGACTGCTCGTACGCGTTTTATACGTCACTGGTCCGATTGATAATTCACTGCTCTCAAATTGGTGGTAACGTCACGTTATACATTACCAGTTCACACAGGCCTTAAGTTATAGCACATTTTAATTAGGTTAACATGTATTCATTAAGTTGAAAGAAAGTTATAAGCCTATTCGAAAAAGGGGGAGTTAGAAACATAGATTATATTCCCTACAAGATCAAATATACTTTATTTGTTTTAGTACTTAATTTGTTAATTTAAAAAGATGTTGATTGTAACTGTATGTTAATAAATACGATTGATGATATATTGACCAAGGATCACGTTGTAAACCGAATGAGCTAAAATTGAAATAATTGGATTGGAACTGATTGATCGATAAGGAATTTTGTACTAATTAATTTACTAGATACTAACTCATTCATTTGGCTTAGAGGAGAACTCTAAGTATGAGGGGCTAGAGATACTAGCTGGGTGCTGAAATTACAAAAAAAAGTGGAGCAGGTTTGAAGCCTAAAACCTAGTGGTTGAAAGCCGAGAGCTCTAATAGGCTTAATTTTTGTGTAAAGTCATGGATTTATCGCTAGAGTAAAATGTCTAACCAGTGCTAGCTGATTTTAAACGATTTCTCAGCTGATATCAATTTATGGTAAAACTATTTCCTTTCAAATTAATCATTAGTCACTCAACTTGACTTAAATTGTAAAGAAAAACCTTCACTAATACGCTGGGTGGAGCTGAAAACGTTACGTGATTGTGCTCACATATTATATCACGACCGAAAGGTAGATGGAGAGTAGTAAATTAGGCACGTTATCGAATGAAGCCAACTACACACTCAGCAAACGTCTAAGTCTGTATGTCCTCATCTAGGCCATATATATATATACTAATTTATTAGTGTACACTTTATTCGGTTTGCCAATTACAGCTTTATATTCATTCCTAGCTTTCTCACCAAACCGTACCAGGTTGAGTAAGTGTATAAAAAGCATGTGAATATGGCCACGGATGTCGGTCGAGGATACACACTGCTGAGGAGTCCCACAGTAGGACGAAATGGCCGTCCAGTGCTTTCAGGTTTTCCATAGTGATCTAGCTTCAATTAATTCATGATCTCAACTATTAAAATTACATAGAAATTCTTAATATAATTACAACTTATGCTAAATCTGTAACGATGGAATATTAAGAAGGAAATATTCTATTTTAATCGTGAAAGTATACATAACGAATATAAAAACAATTAAGAGAAATAACACACTTACTGAATCAGATTGTTTTGTTAATTCGTAATGATTATCAGAAGTTGTTTGTTCAAGACTAACACCACTATCACCACTATTATCATTTATTTGTTTAAGATTTTTATTTGATTCATGTTTATTTTTTGGATTATCATGTTCTTCATCGATTGGATCATTTTTATTATTATCATTATCAACATCATCATCATCATCACCATCACAAACGATTTCAACAGGAATTGATAATTTCGTAGAATCTGACAGTATAAGTGGATTCAAATCATTATCGTCAATTTCATCAATCTACAATGAATAGAATATTATTTTGTTTTTCTCAATTATTGTTAAATTTATGGAGACAACGAGTCTTAGTTATTGGATTGTAGTAGTAGTAGTAGTAGCAATCATAATAGTATTATATATATATATATATATATATATATATATATATATATATATATATATATATATATATATATATATATTTAACAGTTTGGGTGATATTCGGAATCATAGATCTCAGTTGAAAAGTTCTTTTTTATGGTTCATAAATATTGCCTTGTATAAATCAATCAAATAATGACAACGTAGAACCGAGCACACATACAGAGCATTGGGCCCGGATTCTCACACTTTACGTTAGCATAACTCAAATGGTAAATTAACACGATATACACCGAAGAGAATAGTCAAAGTAATCGTATCGGTAATTTTTTAGACAATTCACACAGTCGTTATTAAATAATCATGGGAAGTAGACGATAGAAGATAGAACAAGAAAAATAACATCTAACAACCTTAATTGCCTTTACTCAATTATTTCATATAAAATAATCAATTAATTTACTAATAATTAAGTCATACAGACTGCGCGGCAGCTCGTTCTGTTTTACTTTACGGCCGCGAAACGTGGCCATTAAGAGTAGACGATATTCGTAAGCTACTAGTATTTGATCACAGATGCCTTAGAAATATTGCTCGCATCTGCTAGGATCACCAGGTAAGTAATAGTGAGGTTTGACAATAAGGTATTAGGGAATTATGGTAAATTAGTTGATGAAGTTGTGAATCTTCGTCGACTGAGATGGTTGAGCCACGTGTTACGTATGCCTGAACACTGATTACCACGACGCGCATTGCTGATTAGTGTTGGGAATGGTTGGAAGAAAGTTAGGGGCGGCCAAAACAAAACGTGGCATCAGTCCACAAAGTCACTAACTTCTGGTCTGAGTCATGTTGGTAGATGCAGACTACTTGGTTGGGGTCCACGTGTCTATCGTAACCAATAGTTGGAGAATCTGTGTGACATGGCTCAGTATCCATCACAATGGCATCGGTGTATACACTCTTCGTCTTCCCTTAAATTACGAGATTAAAATTGTTTCATTTCTTTCTTTCTACGCACTAATTCTTTCTTCCTGTACTATATCCTTATATGAAATCTTTCTTTTATATAATACCACCATTGAATTAATTGCTTCTATGAATTCGGTGTTCATCTTGTTGTGCTAGTGAGGTAGGTCAAGTTGGACCAATGCACATATGTGCCTGGTCCTACGTTGTAACTGACTGACTGAAGTCACACACTTTTGATAAAAAATACCAGAGATGGAGACAAAGAGAGAGATACATTAATTTATAGTTAATATGTATATATAATGATGGTTTATACAAAAATGTCCATTTTATTTTCTACTGAACTTAGGAATGTTTCTACTAAGTCACATCAAGTTCTTTCAACATTCTATTTAAAAGAAGAATATGTTTGCTTGTTTGTTTGTTTCGTTGTTGTATTTGTTGTTCCTTTTTAAATGACTATTTAGAGTGACTTTGAGAAGATAATTATTATCAATACACTATAATGTATGATGAAGATGTGGTTATTTGGTTTAGATAGAGAACTTTCAAACAATAGGTTATATGTTTAAATCAAGCTTTACTTCAATTAATTTAAAGAGATAAGACATATTTTCAACTGAATGGAATAAGAATGAAAAGTGGTAACCATATACTAAGGCATGAACTAGATAAAGACGAATATTGAACGTGTAAAGATTTTAATAGCACCTTGAAAAAAAAAGTTTAAAATAATGACCTCGTTCGTATTAAGCTTGATTAAAATCTAGTGACTGAACTTCTACTAGGTTACAAAGTTGCATTTACCAATGATTAGTAGAATATAAATTATTCACGATTCTTCACATCATTAAGTGAAGTTTCATCGTAATACTGATCAGTTACTCATTAATGACTAATTGCTAGTGTACACTGTTGAAAGGTCCTATGATAAGAGAAAATAGCTTCCTGGTATTACATTTTACGACTTAAACTGTATTGACATTAGATAATCTCTGCAAATCTTCCATAGTCATAAAATGAAGTAAAATTATTGAAACCCATTTGTAATTTATTATTTTAAAAGGCAAACGACTTAAATTCACATTCATGTCAATAAGAGTAATATCATATTTCCAAACTGTTCAATCTCTTTATCTGATAGTTTAGTTTTTTATTCAATTTCGATCTGAAAGTACACATGTGTATACAGTTTATCGCTCTTAACAAAAAATTTCGTCGAATAAAAGTAAGTTGAATTTACTTTACAAACGATACGACTGCATATCTAACCTTTTTAGATAAACTCATCAGTTAGTCAGCTACAACGTAGGACCAGGCACATATATGTACCGGTCCAAGTTGCCATACCTCATTAACACAACAAGATGAACACTGAATTCATAGAAGCAATTAATTCAATGGTGGTATTATATAAAAGAAAGATTTCATATAAGGATATAGTACAGGAAGAAAGAATTAGTGAGTAGAAAGAAAGACATGAAGCAATTTTAATCTCACGTTTTAAGGGAAGACGAAGAGTGTATACACCGATGCCATTGTGGTGGATTCTGATCCATGTCATCCAGAGTATCCAAACATTGGTTACGATAGTCACGCGGACCCGAACTAAGTAGTTTGCATCTCCCAACATGCCTCAGACCAGAAGTTAGTGACTTTGTGGACTGGTGCCACGTTTAGGTTTGGCCGCTCCCAACTTCCTTACATCCGTCTCTAACACCAGTCAGCATTGCGCACTGTGGTAATCGGTGGTCGGGTATGCGTAATACGTGGCCCAACCATCTCAGTCAATGAAAATTAACAACCTCATCAACTAACTTACGATCATTTCCTAATACCCTGTGTCTAACCTCACTATTACTTACCCAGTGATCCCATCATTATAACCGAGTGAACCACTATATCTGACTTTAAATATATCTAGACCAAGTCACAGTTTTCTTGACTAAAGTGGGAATATAATTAAAGAGAATATATTTAGTTTGTTTATTTACCTCGCCCGGCTCAATTTAAATTATTGTTTCTTTACACTGATTTTCTCTTTCTAGATCAGCCAGTCATATATAACTTAGAATCTATCACACATGTACATCGTTTTACGTTACCACACCATACTGGCGCTTTCTATATACTACGCCATCTTTAGAACTCAAAAGCCTCATGTCGTCAGGTCTCTCTCTCCATGTGTCTGTACTACCAATATCCACCATCACTATTCATAAGTGTGAATATATACTCTGAGAATACTATGTAAGAAGGTTGAAAGGTCAAAAGAAAATATAATTATAGACTTATCAGAATATTAATTAACAAGTCAAATAATAAATGATAGCATGTTCTGATTTTATCTCCTTCAAATAAACATGCGATAGTGCTTATTTGATAAGTTATACAATCAACATAAGTTAAATAAAGGACATCACTATTCAGACACATAAATATCTCTCTTTCTCAAACTATCTAGCATATAAAACAAAACAAAATGGCCTAATTATCTAAGCAAACAATATCAACCATATATATACGTGTATATGTTTATAAATGTGCTTTATTGTAACTAACACATTGTTATTACAAGACAAAACAAATAAGGAGAAAAACTTGTGAATGTACACTATGCGACAATCATTAAAACACTATGGATTTGAATATACAGGTTATATACAAACTTAGGAGAAAATAAA